CAGCCAAAGACTTTGCACAACCTGAAGGCATTTTGCCAAGATGAATGGGCAGCTATATCACCTGCAAGAATTAGGGGCCTCATAGACAACTACTAGAAAAGACTGCAAAATGTCATTGATGCTAAAGGGGCAATACACGCTGTCATTAATGCTGAAGGGCAATATACAGTATTTGAACAGGGGACATTTAATCTTTTTATTTGTTGCCATATTTTGTTTCATGATTGTGCCATTCTGTTATAACCTACAGTTGAATATGAATCCCATAATAAATAAAATACATGCATTTTGCCTGCTCACTCATGTTTTCTTTAAAAATGGTACAGATATTACCAATTCTCTAAGGGTATGCAAACTTTTGAGCACAACTGTAGACACATGCATATACACATACAGAGAAACAGATAAACATACAAACACATAAACGTTCAGACACACATGCAGATACACAGATAGATACACATACAGACGCACATCCAACACACAAACAGGTACACAGACACACAGATACACAGACACATAGATACACAGACACACAGATACACACATGCAAAATGTAAATTTTGTATCCACCCTCCTGTTTCCTACCTTTTGGGTGCAGAAGGGTGGCTTCCTTGGAGTCTAGTGTTCTGGCTGAGGATGTTGGGAGTCAGAGGCTTTCCCAGTCTGTGCACCCCTCCTCTCTGCCTTCTACTCCTGTGCAGCTTGGTCTGTTAGCTGGGAAGATGTAAACAGCTCTCACTTCCTCCCAGCAATGTCATCATTAAAGGGGTCCAGTAGCGCTGTATAAAAGATGAATACACTGACAGAGCCCCTGAAGACCCATTGTCAATGGGTAGCTCTAAGTGCATAGGCCACCTTCAACGTACGGGCCCCATTGCAGCCTCACTGGCTGTAGTTCCAGTGCTGCCTCATGTTACAACCATGCTCGCTCACTCATAATACACATGTGAATCACAGCTCCCCCCCATTACAGTGAAGCCAGGCACCGTACTGAAAGAGGTGCCTTCCATTTGGCTCCCCCTGCTCCCTCCTCTGTTTGGCAGGCTCTTTCTGATAGTGGTGACTGGCACTTGGCCTCCTAGTTCCCCACTGTACACTAATATAACCTCCCCCCAATTGTAGCTATTTCTAATTATGCCACAAAAATTGATGGAGGAATCCATCTTGAATCCATAATGGCAGATGTCTCTTTGGATCAACAATCTGTTCACATATTAGTTATATCATTGAATATCCTGGTATAGCACTGGCACAAAATATGTTACAGTATATAACTGCTATGACTATGGGCTGATCTCAGAGCTATCGGCTGGTTGGTTACAATACCTAATACAAAAGCTATCTATATTTCTATAATGCCAGAGCTGAACAATACTCTGAGACCGTGAGTATGGATGGATAAATAAATCAAACAGAAAACAAAATAGAAAAAGCGGGGAGGAATATCACTTAAAGGACCACTATAGGCACCAGACCACTTCAGCTTAAAGAAGTGGTCTGAGTGCCAGGTCCATCTAGGATTAACCCTTTCTGCTGTAAACATAGCAGTTTCAGAGAAACTGCTATGTTTACTTTAGGGTTAATCCAGCCTCTAGTTGCTGTCTCATTGATTTTCACAGTGAGAAGACGCCAGTGTCCATAGAAAAGCATTGAGAATGCTTTCCTATGGACTGACTGAATGAGCGCGCGGCTCTTGCCGCGCATTCAGCTGAGGATGGGGAAAGGAGGAGGAGAGTCCCCAGCGCCGAGGGAGCCCGACGCTGGAGAAAGGTAAGTGTTTAACCCCTTCCTCTCCATCCAGCCTAGCGGGAGGGGCACCCTGAGAGGGGCACTCATTAATATCAGGTAGTATCAAAATATCTGGGCTCTAAATGATAAGTGGGTAAATAGAAAAAAAGGGTAAGAGAAAAAATACCTTAGCTGTATGGAATAACTCCAAACGGTCTTTAATCTATCTCGTAATCAAAGTTCATTAAGCTAAGACACTGGTTATAATTAATAAGTTATGTGTTAAATACACATCAGTGAAAAAACATGGTGATAGAGTGTGCAGTGAGAGAAGATAAAATACCTAACGTGTGTATTGGTGCACAAATGCACCTTCAAGTTTGTTTGAAATTTCCACGGTTATTTAATGATAAAAGATCACTCCCTACTATTGGGTCATCTTATTAATTCAGCAGATGCTTATCCATTATCATCTAAAAATTGTGTACTTTTATATACCTTTTAATACTTTCATAAGATGTGATTAACAAACTGGACTTACATTCACACATTGTGCCGAGTTAAAAGACCAAAATGAAAAAGAAAGAAAAAAGAACAGGAAAAAGATAAAAGGGGAAAAAAAACGTCCTTCCTCATGTGGACTCTAAATTGGTTAGCCACGTTCAACATAATACTATTCTGGGGTTAAGGTAATTTTCCTACCTTAAAATACCCATCTCCATTTTGCAATGGTTCAAGATTTGATGTTTTATCACGTCCCAACTAGTGATGTCGCGAACCCAAAATTTTCGGTTCGCGAACGGCGAACGCGAACTTCCGCAAATGTTCGCGAACCGGCGAACCGCCCGAAACGCCATTGACTTCAATGGGGAGGCGAATTTTAAAACACACAGGGACTCTTTCTGGCCACAATAGGGATGGAAAAGTTGTTTCAAAGGGACTAACACCTGGACTGTGGCATGCCGGAGGGGGATCCATGGCAAAACTCCCATGGAAAATTACACAGTTGATACAGAGTCTGGTTTTAATCCATAAAGGGCAGAAATCACCTAACATTCCTAAATCACAATCAATATGGATTGACACCTGACATATGACATATTGACACCTTGACATATGGATTGACACCTGTCCTCAGAGCCCCTGATGCACACGGACACAGAGCAGAATAGAGACTGGTCCCCCTACATAGGGTCACTTGGCAGATATGGATTGACACCTGTCCTAAGGATCCCTGATACACACTGACACAGAGCAGAATAGGGACTGTTCCCCCTACATCGGGTCACTTGGCAGATATGGATTGACACCTGTCCTAAGGTTCCCTGATACACACTGACACAGAGCAGAATAGGGACTGGTCCCCTACATCGGGTCACTTGGCAGATATGGATTGACACCTTGTTACAAACTGCTATTTGTAACGGGCCCTTTAAATGGCAAATTGCCCTGCTTCCCTGGGTTGTGGAGAAGCCTACTTGCCAGCCTCCTCCCGCATGACCATGGCCCCTGGGAGATTGTGAAAATGTATGCACTTTTATTTGGTGTGTATGGCCCTTTAAGACTGTCGGTGGGCATATTGGGGCTTATGGACTCTTTATGTGACTGGTGCTGGCCCTTTAAACACCTTTTTTGGGACATCAGGGAGATTGGGACACTGCCCCTTTAAGGCCGTGTCCCCAGACTTGTTGGGGACACGGCCCCTTTAAGACGGTGTCCCCTGTGTCCCCAGACCTGGTGCAAACCCGCCTGCCTTTTGCTCACTTGGTTCAGTAAATGGGAAATTATAAGCTGTAGATGACTAAGTCCCATTCCCGCGATGGACTTAGTCTTTTTTCAGCCGCTAGCCTTATTTCATGAGACTAAGTCCCATTCGCCATGGACTAGTCTTTTTCAGCCGCTTTTTTCAGGACTTATTTCAGCTGTAGAGATAAGTCCCATTCACATGGAACTTTTTCAGCCTGAAATAGACCGACCTCACAGCCCGACTCCATGGAACTGTTTTGGGCAGGAAAATGTACGGCGGTCGGTCATAAAGGGACCTAGCCAACTTTTAACCCCTGATGGATTTTTGGCTGATTTTTGGTTATGTTTATGTTTTAAGTGTGTGCTGATTCCAAATATGTAATTATGAAGATTGGATGTAGTTTTAAAGTTACAGGGTATGGCTAAAAACTGTATTTTTACTGCCTGTGTTTAATTATGTTAATCTCTTCCCAAACGTCATTTCGTTCAAAGTGGAGAGAATGTTAAAAATATATTTTTGTTCGGAGTGTGAGAAATGCTTTTCAGCCGCTTCTAATCTTAAGCATCATTTGAGGAGCCATACAGGAGAGAAACCTTATTAGTGGTGTGTTTAGTATTGTTCTGATCAGTTTAATACCTTCCGCGTCTCCTATCAGTGGACGCGTATATGGCAGCCATTTTAGGAACCGTACACCTGGGACCCGAGCAAGGTCACCTCGTTCAACAGGCTTGCAGCGTATCCTCCAGGAAGAAGAGCCTGAACCCTTACCGGCTGCACGTGTCTTACCTGTACA